GGCACGTCGATGAAGAACTCCAACGCCCAGACACCAGGAACGAGTGGAAAGTCTTCCGCGCGAGCCGCAGGGGCAACGTGCTCGGCCCGTTCACGCCGAGCTCGAAGGAACACGCCTGGCAGTTCTGGAACTCGTTCGACAGCACCGCCAGGAGCCACAGGCGCAGCAGGCGGAGCTTCGTGAACATCCGCATGCCCAGGACCGCCCTCGCGAGGAGGATGCCGATCATCGAATCGTCCAGCGCGCCAGCCAGACCAGTGCCTGTGGCAACTCGCGGATCCGCGCGGAGGGCCGAGGCTGAAGTCGGGCCTGTCCCTCTACACGAGGAATATTCAAACATAGTCAAACAAATATATGGGGACGATGTTTGAGTATGTTTGAACATGTTCTGAATACCTTTGTGCTACTTGTCGCTGCCCTTCAACATCCGCCTGTAGGGGGACATGCCCGACCTGAGCCGAGGCCAAGGCCGCGTCTGGCCGCGCGGGGCGGCAGCCACGCTGCGCTGGAGGGCGGCGGACCTGCACGGCAGAGGCAGCGTGGCCCGCTCGGCAGCTCGGCGGCACGCGGGCGCCCCGGGCGCCGTAGGGGGGGCTCCGCGGCGAGGGGGGGCTCGCCATCGCTCGGACGTCCAGTCCCCGTGCGTGTGTCGGCGTCGCGCGCGGATGTTTCACCGGATGAGTCCAGGTGCTCCTCGATGGACCTCGCCGAGAAAAAACGCACACGTCCGAGCGAGGCCAAGGAGGAGGGGGGGAGGGCGGAGAGCGGGGCGCTCAGCTCCCCTCCGCGCAGAGGCCCGTGCGGAATCCGCTGGGCCTCGTGGGAGGGAGGTCCACGGTGGTCTGCGAAGGTCGCCAGCTGGGCTCCTTCATGCAGAGCTCCCTGCAGGCCTCCGCAGGCCAGAAGCAGGCCAAAGACGCGGAGCAGGTCTGGCCCTTCGATCCTCGGCCCCGGCGTCGGCGCGCTTGATGGAAACTCGACCCCTCTGGAGGTCGCTCCGGCTCCGGGGGAGGGGGGAGGCCTGAGAGGGAAAGATACAGTAAGAGCTCGACCACGAGAAACCCAACCCTGAGACCCAAGGACGTCCGTTGACTCTTGGTGTGGGAACGCCACGCTAACCATCGATACTTACGAAGCCCAGGGCACCCTGGAGGCAAGCAGGGTGTTTCCTGGCATGGGTCTCCACTGTAGGGCGAGAGCGGCTCAGAGGTAAAACAACCATCGACGTGGGTCCGGCGGCACACGACGACATCGGCGTGCACGGGCATAGAGGCAGAAAAAGAAAAGGAAGCGGGCGCGATCCTCGTGAGGAGCGTGCCGACATGGGCGTCGACATTCATGCACGTAGACTGATTCGCACGCAGACTCATTCACAATCAGATTCACAATCAGACTCACTCGCGCGCAAGCTCACCCGTTCTCAATCTCTCGCACTCAGACCTACCGTCTTTGTTCGTGTTGTGGACCCCGCTGCACATTTCGGCGCGCCCCCTCGCATGGTTCGTGGCCCCATAGGGAGCGCGAGCAAAAATGAGATTCACAATTGCGGCATTCACAACTGCATATGGCTGGGTCCTTCGCTAGGCTAATGTTCCGGACGTTTGCCAGCAGGCACTTTGCGAGTAGTAGAACGCGCCCGGTGAGACATTGCTGGGGATTCCAAAGCCGTGTGGTGACAGACCGTGCGGTGACCACGGAACCCCAAGAGACCTCACCTCACGGTCCGTCACCGCACGGTCTTGGGACCCTGGTGCGGTAACCCCGACACCCCACTGACTCACTACACGGTGTGGTCACCAACCCGTTTGGAGGCCCCCGACATTGGATGCCGATGCCCCCCCTCCCCCGGGACGAAGCCAGCGAGGGTCCCCGGGAGCAGCTTCGGTGGAAAAGCTGCGTCCGGCGCAGGATGTCTGAGCCCTCATCCTAGTCCTGGTCCCGCACAATGCATTTGTTTCTGGACCAAGCGCTGGTGTACAGTTCGCAGTGTGCTGCAAGCACGTCCCTCTGTGGGGCCTCTGAGGCAAATGGTTGCGAGGTGGGGAAGCGCTGCGGCAATCCCGCCCGTCCCGCGTGCGCCAAGCTATGTACGCAACCATATTGCCAATATCTGAATTCAGAACGATCTTCACATGACGCTCAAAGACTGGATTGTGGACGAATCGTCCCGACACTTTCGCAATGCTGAGATAGAACGTCACACGTTTTTGTTCATGTCAACTGGTAATTGCGAAAAAAATGCCAATCCCCCAAATGACGGTGCTGGAGAGGCAACGATAGGGGACGACTGGTATAGGGAGGAAACAGCTACATGGAATCGCCGATGCATTGCTGATAGATCGGCGACAGGCCCGCGATAGCGAATCCGCATGTTCCTGGGCAGGTTGGGGTTATTGGGCCCACATCGGAGGTCTATGGGCGATTTGGGGTCGATGCATCCACCCCTGAGCCTATCTCCATCCAGTGATCCTCATCGTTCGTTTTCCGGGTCATTGCTCGAGACACCCGCGGCCGTTCGCGAAGATCCGGGCACCCCGGGAAAGCTCTCGGCGAAGAGCTGCTGCAGAAGAGCACCCCGAGGCTGGAGAGCCGCCGAGAATCGGCGAAGCGGCCCGAAAACGTCCGGGCACGACACTCGCCCCCGAGAACCGACGAGGGCCCGCTGGCGTTGCCCCCGAATGCGGGGCACGGCCCCGCTCCCCCGAGGGGGTCCTGACCCGAGGCCCCCGCAGCAGCGCGCCCGGCGCCCCGAAGGGGCGGGCGGGGCGGGGGCGCCCGAGGTGCGGCCGATGACCACCACCATGTCGCCGGGGGCGACCTCGGGGGCCGCGGGGCACGGGGGGGCACCGCGGGGGGGCTCTCTGGAGATGGTGCGTGCGCGCGCGAGCCTGGCTCCGCGGGCACGTGCAAGCGCATGCTGCTGTCGCAAGGGCGAGAGTGGTGTCATTCGGCAAGCGCGCTCCACCACTCGCCAAGTAACTACTCGCAAGTGGCTTGCATCCGCCGCCATGGATGTGCGATCCACTGCGAAAATGAAGGCACGTGTTTTTTTCTGACGCTTGCGAGTGGGCACGTTGCGAGTAGTGCAACGCGCTCGGTGAGTCATGGTAAAATTGGCCCAGGATGCGCTCCGGGATAGACAGGGTACCTAGCGGCGCAGCCGGTGCGGGACGCACAGGGAAGTGTACGAGAAGTCCGAGACGCCGATCCTGGAGCGTATCAATCCTCTTGCTCCTCTGGGTCGTGCCCGACCAGGGTAGATGTCGTTCACATGTACACGGGTGTGGCGAGCCAGCGAAGGAAAAACAAGGGTGAATTGCAGCACAGGCTGGGGATTGCAGTTGCAGCATAGGCTGGGGAAGGCGGCCGTCTCTCTTCGCGGTTCAGGCGAGGCGGCGCCATGTGGCACGGACAGTCCCAAGGGGCCTAAACTTTGGCCCGACAAGGGTCCGACTCCCAAGAATCCGCTTGCAACGAATGCAGAACCCCGTTTGCACGTGCCCGTCAACTGTTTCCTCAAGCTGGCCCTGCTTCTCTTAGAGCATACGGCTTGAAACCGTGAGCAAGTGGTCCATGCCAACGCAGCTCCCGCCCGGAGGGTTGGGTGAACCATGGCTGCAAGGGACTGCCGGCGGGGCAGCGAGTCAAAAGGCGACTAACTACCTGTGTGCCCGATGTGACTACCTTGGCAAGGCTGTTCTGACACAACTAGTCCGTGGCGGAAGATGGATACCAAGATCGGTCCTGCTCCTTCTCATCCTGGGAGGTCGCCGAGGGAAGCACGGGTGCACCTGCTCCTTCTCCTCCTCCTCCTCCTCCTCCTCCTCCTCCTCCTCCTCCTCCTCCCCCTCCTCCTCCTCCTCCTCTTCTCGGCCTGGAATCGGCGATACATCGCCGATGGATCGGCGACAAGACCCCGATGGCGAATCCGCGCGGCGCTGGCCGGGGCGTGCCATCGGGATGAGTGGGCGACGAGGGAGTCGGTGCATCCTGCCTTTGTGTTCGCCCTCCTCCTGCCCCTCCTCCTCTCCCTCCTCCTCTGCGCTCTGCACTGCCCAGCGGTCCATCCCGCGAACGCAAGCTGCCCGTTGCCGCCCCGGTGCTGCATCACCCCCCCCCCTCCTCCTGAGCCTACGCATCCTCCCCGTGCCGTTGCCCCTGACGTCGCGAGGCCGAAGCGGGGACGCCCACGGGTCGACCGACAGGTCTGCGCCTCCTGGCCACGGGAGCCGAGTCGGGCAGCCGATGCCACACGGGCCGAACCAGGCAGTCGGCCGCACCAGCCGCGGGCACCCGTCGGAGGGCAAGCTGGTGGAGAGAGTCCAGCAGCATCCCCTCCCCTCCCTCCTCCCCGTCCTCCCTCCCTCCCTCTCGCTGTCAGTCTTTTGCTTCGCCTCGGAGGCTTACGCCTTTCCGCCGCCGCCCCTGCTGGTCTGTGCCGAGCGGGCCCGGTGCCCCATGGCAGGCTCGGGTTCAGGGCTGGGTTCCCCTCCTCGCACCTAGGGCTTTGCGTGTGGGATAAGAGTTACCTGCCCCTAGCTCATTGGGTGTGAGCCATTCCCCCATCACGGCACGAGGACCACCTCAATGCCCGATCCAACCGACCTGTCCTCCCTCCTCCTCCCTCCTCCTCGCGGGCGGAGAACCTGTCCGTGTGCATGGCCTCGCGGGCCAGGCCACTGGGCCACGACCCGCGGATGTGGGGCGCTTTGTTCGCAGATGCCCCGCGCGGAACGTGTCCATGCGCCTGCGCACCCACGGGATCGCGCCCAAAATCCCGTCCGCGAGGGCGTCGATGTGGACACGTTCGTCGCTCGTGAGCGCAAGCGCACTCCCCTGCCCGCACGGCGCCCCCTCCTCCAGCCCCCCCCGCGCGCGTCCCTGCCCCGACGGACTTCGTGCAGTTTATAGTTCCTCACGGTCCGGCCCTTCTTCTTGCACGCCAGGATCTTCAGCTCCCAGGCCCCGCTGTTGTCGGCGCAGGCCACACTGATGAGCGCCTCCCGGAGCCAGGCGAGCGGGAGCGGATTTCGAGGACGTGATCGCAGGTTCCCGCCTCATGTTCATCATCGGGATGTTTTCCAGCAGGTGCGCCTCGCCGAAAACGTTCTGGGGTTGCCCGGATCGTCCCGAAAGACCGCCAAAGACCCGAGTTATGACCCGAAATTGGCCGAGCCAGGCGAGCAGAAGGGGGGGAGGAGGACGAGGGTTCCCAGAGGATCTGAGTACTGTCAGGCCCAACTGGGGGGGAGCCACTGGATCATGCACAACCTAGGGGCGGGGGGCCCGGTTGGAATGAGGACGAAGACGAGGGCGAGGAGGACGGAGTAGGAGGAGGGAAGGTGGAAGGGGGTGGGCTCTCCCGGAACCCATAGAGCCATAGAGCCTCTGCAACTCTAATGAAAATTAAAACCGTCCTCTCTAGCTCGTCCTTCTCCGCATGTCATACTCAAACCTTCCTCATCCTGCTCCTTCTCCTCCTCCGCCTCCTAATCATGCTACTACACCTCCTCCTCCTCCTCCTCCTCCTCCTCCTCCTCCTCCTCCTCCTCCACATCATCACCATCACCATCACCATCATCATAATCATCATCATCATCATCATCATCATCATCATCATCATCATCATCATCATCATCATCATCATCATCATCATCATCATCTCATCATCATCATCATCATCAGCAGCACATCATCATCATCATCCAGCAGCATCATCATCATCTCATCATCATCACATCATTCACACATCATCATCATCAGCATCACATCATCACATCATCACATCATCATCATCATCATCAGCATCATCATCATCATCACATCATCATCATCATCATCATCATCATCATCATCATCATCATCATCATCATCAGCATCATCATCATCATCATCATCATCATCATCATCATCATCATCATCATAATCAGCATCATCATCGGCAGCATCATCATGATAATCATCATCACCATCATCATTATCATCAGCATCATCATCATCATCATCAGCATCAACATCATCATCATCATCATCATCATCATCATCCTCATCTACTCTGCTCTGCCTGGCTCTACTCTACTCCACTCCACTCTATGATAGTGTACTATCCTACGTCTCTCTTCTCTACCATCTACCCTGTTCTACTCTACTCTGCTCGGATCAACCCTACCCCACTCTACCCTACCCTACCCTGCCCGAATCCAGCCGTGTATAGCATATCCTGCTCGACTCTACTCTGCTCTGAAGTACTCCTACTCCTACTCCTACTCTGCTCTACTCTGATCGACTGTTCTCGACTCGACAATCTACCCTACCCTGCCCTACTCTACTCTGTCTGCTCTACTCTACCCTGCCCTACACTAAGATACTCCTATGCTACTCTGCTCGAATAATCTCGAGTATACAAGACTCTAGTCCACAACCTGCCCTACTATACCCTACTCTGCACTGCTCTGATCTACACCTACTCTACTCTACCCTACCCTAACCTACTGGTCCACCCTAACCTCACTAGTCTATCCACGCGACTCTAGTAGACTATGCTTGGTTCACTCAAGTCTACTCGTCTATTATTATTCAATATACTCTACTCTGCTCTCCTCCTGATAGTGCCGATTGGTTAGCGATGTTGGGACGTCATTGGAATACCATACGGACAGGAAGAAACCATGCGGATAATCAGGAAGCCATGCGGATAGGAGAAGCCATGGGGTCGCGGGTCAAAAACATGTTTATTTCATTTTAACATGTTTCAATACAAGTCAGTTTGTTTCTGGTCTATAAACTCTTGCTGGCTCCCTGGGCGCGATCCATGTGAGGGGTGTGTCGAAATTGGCCTGTGGACGCCGGCTCACCTGGCTACTGGGGGGCCAACCAGCCAGCCAACCAACCATTCAACTAGCCCTTCCCAGTGTATTTGTTTGAGGATATTTCACGCCGCTGGGCCGCTTAAGTTGGTTTGATCTAGAATGACCGCGGGGCAGGGGGAAGAGAATAACGAAATAGCACAGAATGGAATGAATGGACGGAACGGAATGGAAGGGAGGCATGGACGGAATGGAATGGCGCGGAATGGAATGGAATGGATGGGAGGCGCGCGCGGAGGGGCGAGTGGACGAACGGGCGAGCGAGCGGGCGTGCAGACGTGCGGGCGGGCGCACTGTGTTGCGTTGCACTGCATTCGCGTTGCATTCGCACTGCAGTGCATTCGCAGCGCAGTGTGTTGCTTTCGCATTGCATTGCATTGCACTGCGTTGTATTGCGCTGCGTTGTGTTGCGTTGCGTTGCGCTGCGTTGCATTGCGTTGCGTTGCGTTGCGCTGCACTGCATTGCATCCTGCTTCGTTGCATTGCATTGCACTGCGTTGCAATTGCATTGCATCTGCAGCACATTTTACTGCAGTACATTGCGGAGGGGGGAAGGAGGGGAGGGAAAGGGGGGAGGAGGGAGGAGGGCGGGGGGCCCTCCCGGAAGACAGAGTGGTGGTCGAGCGCCCGTGGGTCGCGTTGGGCGGCTCATGAGCTGCGTTGGGCCCACCCGGGGGCCCTGCGGACACCTCGGGGAAAACTTGAGCCATCTCGGACCGTCATCTCGGAGGCCCTCTTGGGCCATCTGAAGGGGGGACGCATGCCGTCTTCGAGGCTGCTGGGGACCTTCCCAGCAACCGCTGGTGGCCAGCTTCGGCAGTGTTGGGCTCATCTTGAGGACTTCTTTTTCCGTTGACGGGGCGATGCAAGCTTCATGGGTTTGAAACACGCTTTCTCGCGCTGTCACGCCGGCGGGCGGAGCACGTGCGGTCACGCCGGCGGGCGGAGCACGGGCGCGTCAGGAGGGGGGAGGAGGTCTCGTGCACGCTGTTTTGAGAAATCACGCGCTGTCACGCCAGCAGGCGGAGCACGTGCAGTCACCAGAGGGCTCCTCGATGGTGTGGTGGCTGCCTCCCCGTGGTCCTCCTTTCTGCGTTCCTCGCCTCTTCCTCCTCCACCGTGTCCACCCTTCCCTCCCATGCCGCCCCCCCTCCCTCCCTCCCTCCCTCCCCTCCTCCTCCGTCTTCTCCTCCGTCCCCTCCTCCTCCTCCTCCTCCTCCTCCTCCTCCTCCTCCTCCTCCGTAGCCATTTTGGCTCAAGATGCCTAGTTCCACAGTGGAACAAGTGGATACCGCTAGTTCGCGGCCAGTGCCAGGGCTCTTGAGCCCGACAGCTTTGTTCAACTCTCCGTGTGCCTCCTGCAGCCCGCAGGTGAGCTTCCTCAGTCTCTCTCGTCCATGGCGCCTCCGCAGCAGCGCAGCGCCTATGTCAAAAGCTACTCTTGCTCGTACTCCTGGAACTACAAGACCAACCAGACGTGCTACTGGTGCAGCAAAGCCTTGGCGCCGTGGACAGACTCCCCGCCTCCAGTTCAAGGCGCCTGGGCGGCCCGCGCCAAGGCCGCAGCCCAGGCCGACGCCAGCTGTACCCAGCAGCCCAGCCCCGAGACGGGATGGGAACCGTGGTCGTCATGGCCCAAGTCCCGCCGCCGCCGAGGCAATGGCAATGGCAAGAACCAAGAGGACGACTGGTGGACCAACAAGAACGACACCCCCAAGGTGCGCTCCGCAGAGGACATCCTTGCGGAGCTTCAGGCGATCGCCCCCCACATCGACAAGGCAGCCATCGACGGTATCAAGTCGCAGATTCCGCCGCCCCAGCCGCAGAAGCCAGCCGACCCCAACGACATCTACAGCCGCGCCCAGGCCACGGAGCGCCGCTGCAAGAACAACCTGGAGAGGCTGCTCGAGAGTGAGCAAAAGGCGCTCAGCTGGTACACCGAGCGCAAGGCGGCGTCGGAGGAGGCCGCCTACAAGTTGGCAGAAGCCCAGGCCGAGGCCCAAGCCGCTCTCGACGCCCTTCAAGTCGCTCGCAAGGGCGGCACGGCTACTCCCACGGCCTCGCAGCAGAACCCGACGTTCAACCTCACCAGCCTCCTCGAGGACGGCGACATATCCATCGAAGCGGGTTCGGCGTTCGATCTCCAAGGCCTCGACATCGACGACAGCGATCGCCAGGCATGGGAATCCCTTCAGCAGCGCTTCGCCACTGAGCTCAAGGCCAAGGTCACCGAGCTCTTCGGCAACACCGCCAGCCGCATCAGCCAGCTCCGCACAGAGGCCACCACCATGCGCACGCGCTTCGCCGCCAAGCGTCAGCGGGCCGATGAGGACGGTCACGCCCGAGAGGGAGGTGGATCTCCGCCCGCCGCCTCGGCGGCAGCAGGCGAACCCCCAGCGGCAGCCGCAGCGGACGTTGATGGCTCTGCGGCCTCATCGACAGCGGCGCCAGGCGACGAGCCTCCCGCACCTGCTGCTGGCGCTACTCCTGACGGCAGCGGCGCTGCACAGCCAGTACCAGCGATCAACAAGGACCCCGACCTCGAAGACAAGGCACAGAAGATGCTCAGCCAGATGCGCAAGCCCCCCGCTACCCCCGCGGCTGGAGCGCAGCAGCCTCTTTAGCCGACTACTACCTGACCTTGGACGGAATGGCGAGACGGGGCGCCCACCGTCAGAGACCATGAAATACGACAACCCACCGATCATCAACACAATGGACGCAGTCCTCGACCCGTTCGACGAGTTGGCCGAGTTGGACGCCCACATCGATTTCGCAGCCACAGTTCAGTTTGCTACCGCCCCGCCCGAGACGCTGTCCTCGGCTGGGGGCGATGAGGCGGCACAGTCCGTCGACGCAGTATCATGGGACCCAGGGCAGCCGCAGCGTGCCGCGCGAGCCGACCCTGATGCCGCTCCGCCCGAGACGCCGTCCTCGGTAGGGAGCGATGAGACGGCCCAAGCTGTCGACAAGCAGTTGGTACAGGAACCAGGGGATCAGGTGCCAAAGGCACACCCTGATGCCGCCCCGCCCAAGACACAGTCCTTGGTAGGGGGCGATGAGATGGCGGAAGCCATCGACTCGACCGCTGTGGAAGGCCCATGGAAGCCCAGCAGCCCCAGACCCGACTCCAG